CCGAAGATGCGAGGCCCGGAGCCGGTTTTAGGGTTTAGGGTTTAGGGTTTAGGGTTTTGGGGTTTAGGGTTTAGGGTTTAGGGTTTAGGGTTTTGGGGTTTAGGGTTTAGGGTTTAGGGTTTAATATAGGGGCCTTAACAATTAGAATAGAGTGTTGGTGCTTATGATACTATAACTATAACAAGGAACCCCCAAAATAGTATAGGTAATCATTTAGGCCCTTACATTAGGGCCCTAAACCCTAATCCAACTGTGTAGGCGCCTTTCTCAGATGCGGTGTCGGCAGCCTCTATATGCAAAAAACTACACCCTAAACCGTAATTCCCAATCCCTAAACCCCAAGCCGGGCGAAACTTGGCAACTCGTTGACGGTTCTTCCTAATGTTTCTTGAAAGGGAAATCTCCTACTCAAATACGTCCTTGAAGGCGTGTAGTTTTCAGGGTTTAGGGTCCAGCCACCGCCAAACGAAGAGTAGGATTTGCAGCGCTGACTCGTGCGTTGGCACTGTGTTTGAGCATGGATGGCCAGAGAAGCCTGATGTCCCTGGAGATAGAAATTCAAACGGACCTAGCGGCAATGGACATGGAAACGGCCCGTATCAGAACAGCGAGGACAAGAAGACCAGCGACGAATGCAAGCGACAATACTGCATAGTGAAGAGTGTGAACAGTATGTATACTGGCAGACACAGGACGCAGGTAGTCAAGTCATGTCGCTGTGCGAGTAGGCTAGGATCCCTTTCCACGACGGCAAGAATGCCATGCAGCCGAATGCCGAAACTATCCGTACTCTACTAAACGCTAAACCTATTAAGCCTAAACCCTAAACCCTGAACCCTGAACCCTGAACCCTAAACCCATTAAGCCTAAAGTCTAAACCCTAAACCCATTAAACGCCTAAACCCTAAACCCTAAACCCTAAACCCTAAACCCATTAAGACTAAACCCAAAACCCATTAAGCCTAAACCCTAAAGCCTAAAACGCCCGAGCCCGATATCCGACATGGCCTGGGCCCCATGAGCTTTCCTGGCCAGGTCTTGCCAATGAACCCCAGGATACGAGAGGAGCAGCAGACGCGACAGGCATTTAGTGCTTAAGGGTTTAGGGTTCAGGGGTTCAGGCCCTAAGCCCTAAACCCTGCACTCTTTCTACCGACCTTTAACTGCTAGGTGGAAAAAGAAAGGTGCCTTAAAAAAAACCCTAATTCAAGGCTGAGGGGCAGTTTCGGGGTTCAGGGTTCAGGGTTCGCAATCGTCGTGGCAGTGGTGGTAACAGCCCCATGTCTCTATGCCCCAATTTCAACAGCCTAAACCCTTCAGCCCCTAAGCCCCTCAACCCCCAAATGCCAAAACCCTAAACCCCGAACCCCTAAGCCCCAAAGCCCCTAAGCCCCTAATGCCTCCGCCCTAAACCCCAAGCTTTACACGTCCAGTCGTAATAGTGCGGAATTTTCCAGCCCTAAATCGTGAACTCTAAACCCTGAACCCTAAATCCTAAATTCTAAGGCCCTAAACCCTAAACCCTAAATCCTGAACCCCTAAATCCTAAACCCTAAATCCTGAACCCCTAAACCCTAAATCCTGAACGCCCAAACCCTAAACCCTAAATCCTGAACCCCTAAACCCTAAACCCTAAATCCTGAACCCCTAAACCCTAAATCCTGAACCCCTAAACCCTAACTCCTGAACCCCCATACCCTAAACTCTAAATCCTGAACCCCTAAACCCTGAACCCTAAACCCTAAACCCCTCAACCCTGAACCCTAAACCCTGAACCCCTAAACCCTAAATCCCTAAACCCTGAACTTTGAACCCTAAACCACCCGAAAAGTGCTCTTTC